TAAAATACTCCTGTGCCTCAGCTGGTATTTCCCCCCCTGTATTTGAAATTCCATTTCTGAATCAAAATGACATGAATCCCACCTGTGCATCCACCTTCAGATATCTAGAGTGGAGCCACCACCCTCCCAGCAGAGGTGGGGATGGCCACCTGACCAGTGTCAGACTTCCAAGGCAGCAGTGGCAGCAGCTGTGTCCTGGCAGTATCCGTGTCTCCCTGCTGACACCAGCCAGGAGCAGCTGTGATGCAGGAGCTGGGAATTCGTCATACCCCATGCTGACCTGCCAAACTGACTCATCAGGCAGGAGAGACCCTCAGACACCTTCTTACTACTACTTCTTCTTCGTGAAGGGAAGGAAAACTGCTCCAAGACAAAGGAGAATTCAGGATCTGAAGAAATATTATTCCGTAAGATTATACCACCTTCTTAATATTGGAGGAATCACAACAAAAAGCAAACAAACCCAACTCGCTCCCCTGCCCCAAGGTACTCCCAAAGGGTTGGCATGAGGGGAGAGAAAGAGAGGAGCTTGCTGCAGAGAAGCTGTTCTGACCAAACTCAACATGGTTTTGAAAACTCCAGGGAATGGGGCTTTTTTTTCCTGTAGATGTCTGGCCTGACTACTGACTGCATTCAGAGCCTGATTTCCCTCTTCACCCCCTGAGCAAGGAATATTGGAAGGGATTACATGGTGCAGAGTATATATAGAGGAGCTGAAGGAGCAAGGTTGTACGTGGATGCGGAAGCAAAACCAACTAGGCTGAGCGAGCAAAGTCACATCTGCGTGGAGAAATTAGCCTGGTGCAAGCTAAGGTATGAAGTTAAAGTGTTACAGCTCTTCTAACACAGGCTATTTTTGCAATTTTTTTAAAAAATGTTGCTTTACAAGAGTTTAAACTCTACCAAAAAAACACTTACTCCACAAGTGAGGTGTTTAACTGGTGAGTTAGAGCAAGACGCCAACTGCGGGGTGATTATGCTGAGAGAACTGGGAAGATCTGCAGCTCTCCGAACCACGTCTGGGTCACTGTCAGTGGTCTTGAAGCTCCATAAAGTTCCTATTACTGAAATGACTCCTTAGGGCGTTTGTGGTGATTTCTTCCTTTCCAAATCAGAGGGGAAGCAGTCTCACTTAGTCTTGACATCTTTCAGACCACCCAAAAAAACCCCAAGGCCTAATGATAACCTCTGAACGCCAAACCCAACACATCTGCAACCACCTTTCATTTTAGCAGTCTCCCAGTGGCATGAAGCACAGCAGGTTAACAGGAGGCTCAGAAAGGCTCAGCACTTTAGCGTTTAATGCATTTTAAATGTTCCATCATACAAGATAACAAACAGGTCTGAGGTCAAACTTGCAGTGTACCTGGTGAATTTCAGAGGTCCTGTTGAAAGTCATTGCAACTAGTTTCTAAAAGCTTTAAACCTTGCAAGGAGCTTCTGTAAACATAACCCTGCCACAAGCAGCTGTCTCCGAGTGCTGCAAGACGGCCATGGTGTATCTGTTTTCTTTTTTTTTTTTTATGAGCAAGGCTGACAGAAAAGACATATTTTACTGCAAGATATGAGACTTAAATTTTTTGAGTGTATGCTAGTGAAGTCAACCTACAGTAGCAAGTCTTTAAGTAGTCTCCAGAGGAACAACCTCCCTGGCAACTGATTTTTCTGGGGTATAGGTTCAACTGTTTAAAGTCTTCCAAGCAAAACTCCCCTCCCTCGTCTGCGTGTTCCCCCTCGTGCAGGCTGCTTGTCATATGGAGCTTTCCTAGCAAACGAGAGCAGGATTTTGTAATGACCAGCTGGTAGAGAGAAGGAAAGTACTTGGTGTTACCAGGCTGTCAGATCTGCAAAGCTTCCTGTTTAAATCAGCCTTTAGACTGCAGTGTTGAACATCATATTAAACATCTGCCTGTTGCTAAAAATTGGCTTTTTACGAGACAAGCTCGGACTTTTCTGGCTGTACAGTAATTTATATATTTGTTCCTCGTAATGAGGGCAAAGTCTGAGCAGCCCCATGTTACTGGGGACAATTATAAACTCTAAGCAAGACAGATGCCAAGACCATCTGCTTCAAGAAAGACAGCCTTCTTACCACCAAGTTGCATGAGGATATGTGGGATATTTCCCCCTCTTGCATATGAAAAAACTCCAAGAAAAAGATGGCACAAGGCCAAAGGAACCATCAAGCTTCCCAGGCAGAACTCCAAGAATGATGGAGATAGTTCACTTATCTGTAAAATTTCCTCTGTAAAAGTAATTGATATTAATAAAAGTGGCAACATATTGGCACATCATTTCTGAGAGTTACAGACGCACGATCAAGGGGAACAAAATTATGACGCGGTGACAGCAGCCCTGCACTCCAGCTTGCACGTATTCCCTCCCGGCAGCACGACGCACTTGCCTCCAGCCCTCCCCAGAAGCTCCTCTCGCCTTGACTCACTTTGTTGCATTCTCTGCCTAATGTTAGAGGAGAATAAACTGGGGGAACTCAAAACACGTTCTTCCCTTTTCTCCTGCCGCTGCCTTTTCCCCGGCTGTCTGCTCACACACCAAGTTCAGCCTGGGGGTCTCAGTCTAGACTTGTTCTGACCGGCGTTTGTAACAGACCAATTTCTGGCAAAACATGAAATCGGGAAGATAAGAGAAGGACATGATTCGAGTTAATTAGCCCAGCAAGAAATCTTTTCCCAGGTGGCTGCTGGAAAGGCAAGTCTAGACTCACACCACACAGACACGCACCGTCTATCTTTGTGCACAGCAAACCAGCTGACGACGTGAGCTTTGGAGTTTGCAACTCTCCGGCTGACAGGAGGGAATTATCCTCATAAAAATTCCCCCTGCAGGGTTCAAGGCAGATGTGAGAAATTCCACAAAAGATTAACGTGGTGACCAACTGCGAGGGACAAAGGATTTTCTCAGAAAGTTTCTAGGGGAATTTTGATTATGGGCTTGTTGCAAACATTTAATCCTAATTCATCAACTCCAGCAGAATTTATTGAGTCAACATTTCTTATTTTTGTTCCCCAAAGGCAACACTCAGCATATCACTACTAACATTCATACACTTATTTTTATACTTAGTATATACACTCAGGTGTGTGTATGTGTGTATCTATATATACATATGTATTTTTTTCCTGCCTGGTAGGTGACAAATGGAAGGACACAGTACCAACTACAGAGCCAAACATCTTATGTATTATGATTTAAAGGCTTTTAAGCATTTGGGAAAGATGTCTCTGATATGGAAGCTAACGTACATTTGTGTGAGAAGTTTTTCTATTCCTCCTGTCCTCTCTCAAGTCCCTGTGCTTATAAGCTGTTAATGGCCAGGGCATACTGCCACATATCCATTTAGGAAATGTATTTGAAGGCAGAAAACTGTTCCAAATTATTTCAGCCCACCTTCTCCCGAAGCGGCACCCAGAGCTCAGCAAACAGCTCGGGAGTCGAGCCTTCCCTGTGAAAAGAACCATGCTGGAAATTGATGCTCTGCAACATGGCAGCAGCTCACGCCCACCTGCAGGCTGAAGAGCCGAGGAACAGGAACAGCCTCTTCTTTCCCTGCAGAGGGGACGGTCATCAGGACTCACAGGACCAGCTCTTTCCTCTCACTCCAGGCTCGCTCTACCATTTCCTACCTCAGTACTTGCACAGGCGGGCACCAGGCAATACCCAGTTACCACCAGTACACTCCTTGTGAAAACAGTCTGTGGAGTTTTTCAGGTACACGAGGCTACCGAGATGGGAAAGTAAACAGAAACACGTAAACCTGGTGCAGTTACACGATGGCATGAACGGACAGTGGAAAGAGTCTCGAGCTCAGCTTTAGAGAGTTGGTCTAAAATGGCGAAAGCTCCACGTTTCACTCACAAAGGCCTAACTTCAGCAAGTATTCTTTGAAAGATCAGAATTGTCTTGTTAATCCATAAAAACCCCCTCCAAACCAACAAAAACCCCACAAAACCATCAACTCATTCCCTTCAGTCTACACAATCTGAGATTCTTTGCCTCTCATCTACGGAAGCGCCTTATCTTCTCTCCTGCTGTCAATTAAGGCAATTACTCCTTTGCTATTGTTTATAATTGATAGGCAGTGATTGGATTTACAGTAAACAATTCAGTGTTTATTCAAAAGTGTAATTAAAGACTGATCAATGGGATAAATTCATTACACATTTTTATTTCCAAAACGCGCTCAAAGAGAGGGGATAGGGACTTGAAAGGAATTTTTTTCTCTTACTTCCAGCTTGCAGTAGGTTGTTTTTTTTTTTTTTTATGAACAGTGCAAGAGAATGAGTCTATCTAAACGCTGGTACAACTGCGAATTAAAATACCAAATGGTAAGAACTATTTTATATGGACACTGCTAGACAGAATTGAATGAAGATAAGCAGACTTTTTATAAAAAGATTTATTAAAAATAAGTTCTTTAAAGAGAAAAAGTGTGACATGTATATACATTAAATTGTCAAAAACTTTGTGGGGCTTATAATACAATGTGTTCCAAACTGAAAAGAGGCATTCGCTTTTTTTGTTTTTTTTTTTAATATGTCATGCTTATTGGAACTTAAGAGCATATAGGAAGAAAAAAAAACAACACAACACACAACCATTACAAGCAAAATCTTGACACTGAGGAGTACTTGGAAAGATGAAACTTGGTGATCAGCATGATGCTATTGTTAAATACAGACAGAAAACCAAGGGTTTATGAATACAGCCTTCAGTTGATACAGCTTGTCTGTTGACTGCTAGCTTCTGATTAGGTCTTCATTTCTACTGTGAATTAACAGATCTTAGCAAGTGGCTTTGTGTTCTATAAAGACACAAGTATTTTGGGGACAACAAAATACCACCCAAAACCAGGTAAACAAATGCATCTTTTCCCGCTCTATTGCAGGAGATAGCAAAGATTTCTTCTTAGGAAGAGAGTCACGCAATTGCTGGCTTTCTCCTTTACCTCCTCACATCTCTGACAGTCAGAACCACAAAAATAGTTTTTCTTACAATCATTTTATTTTACAAGAGAGTGTTTTGCACAGACAGTGACATGACAAACTAACACTTGATTCTGCATGCTTCAGATGACCTCAGCTTCTCATATTCAGAGGTCATATTTAGAACTAGATCCTTTCAGTTGTGTCTTCTGAAGATTCCCTGTTCTTTAGTGCATATATACAGCTAGCTGAGCACTGCAGTATTACAAATGTCTACCCATCCTTACACTCTAATTCACTCTAATCTCAGGTGTATGCAGGACTTACATCTTCAGATCTTTGTAGCATCCTCTTTAGTCCCACAGTTTAATAAGACCATCCCAGCCGCACGTAATGACTTTAGATGTTTCGTGTGGATGCCACACTGCGCCGATACAGACTTTATCATGTGCTTTTAATCTGCTGTAGAGTTTTGTTGTCTTCCAGTCCCAGATGTTAAGTTTTCCATCTGCATCTCCAGATATCACATAGCTGTATTAATGGGATTAAAATAAAAGCTGAATCATGTGTGAAGACTGCTTGCGTTGCAACACCTGTACATTGAGCAATGGAAAAGAGCTTCACCCAGAGAGCTTCCTGTCTGACAGTCTGCAAACATACCTACTGAAGAATTAGCATTCTCACTGTGCTCCGAAGCGCACAAGTCCTGCAGAAGGTGATTCATCAACTGCGAGGTAAGTGTGCTAAGCAATGCGATTAAACCACACACTGCATGACTGGAACTAAAGAGAATACCTCAGCAAAAGAGAAAGTGCCAGAAGTTTCTCTAAAATTTATAGATGCTTCACACCACTTTTGCCTCCAGTTTTGCTGGCATTGTTCTCCAGTTTTTACAGTAATGAGTATCTTATGTACATACAGTTGTAAATGTAGGAGTGTATCACTAGGATGAAAAAGGTGGTTCTATGAACAATAAACAAAGATATCCACACCAGACCTGCAAACTGGGAAGACTGGGCAAATCTGAAACCCAAGTATTCCAGACAAGCGCTCGTTGTGGGAACAGACTCTGAGCTGCAGAGCACGCGCAAAAAGAGCCAGATGCACGTCAGAAGTGGATGCCTCCTGTGCTGCACCAGGGCTAGGGAAAACAAGGGGAGTCTCTGGATGGTTTAACAGCAGTGTCAAGCATCTCTGCAGAATGGGGAATCTGGACTACGTGGGCTGTTTGCTAAATGCTGCTCAGAGCAACTGCTGAGTATAACTTAGAATGACAAGAGCAAACTTTCTGTTGTGCTGCTTGGCTAGAGAACTCTGATGCCGAGTTAATAGGATGGCATCAAATGAATGTTGCAGAGGACTCAAGAAAAAATTTAGTGTCCATGCCGGCAAGTTTTAAGATGAAGCTCATTCCCACAAAAACTTACCTCATGTCAGGTGAAAAATCCACTTGACAAGCGTAGCCAGCTACCATGTGACCTTTGAAAATTTTCTTTTTGTTTAATCTGAATCTGTTCTGAGCTCCAAAAATCAGAATTTGGTTATCCATCGACTGACAGGCCAACCATTTCCCTATATAAATGCAATAAACAAAGGTGGTATCAGAGCACTGCATCTGAAGAAATGAACTTAACAGAAATGTTTCAAGAGGTTTTTATAACTTTTCTTGCAATATCTTAATCCAGATTTTCATTATGTATCAGGGTTCTAGGTAGCAGCTGATACTGCTTCTGCCTGGTACAACTGCCAAGAGGCAAAACCTTACATTTGCCAGGATTTGGGACACCTATTCCTACAAAATGCACTCAGGACTCTGTTGTAATAGCCAGAGCCTTTCTAATGTGCTGCATCAACCCCACTGACTCACCAGTAAGTTTTTAAGCTACTGAGTAAGCCTGCTGATGCACATAATCAAGTAATCCAGATAAGGTAACCTCATCTAGCTGAAATCTATTTATTTGTTTTGTGGGTACTCTAATAATATGGTCACCCATTATTTTCTTTATGGGAAAAACAGGCCTATAGTAGACTCAAGAGTCTGAAAATCTTTAAATTTTTGCAAATATTTAGTATTTTCTACCCTAGTGGAACACAATTTAATAAAGATATTTTAGTGAAAGAAAAATACCCGAGCTTTTCTAATCTTATCTCATTTTGTGTCTTGGTAGTGCATTAACTCCTGCTTGAGAATCCAGTGAAGCTGATGTGCTGCAGAACACCACAGAACAGACTTTTGTCCTGAACTCTGCGTATTGTCACTGCCTGTACGGTGTTTTATGCAAACAGCAATAAAGTAACACGTGCTGACTTGACTGTAAATCTGATCACACTTCCAGCTACTAGTTTGGAATTCGAGGATTTGCTTCAGCCTCTCAAAGAAACAAATCAAGTGTGTACTCCAAGCATGTTATTCTCCTCTTCTACTTTTTAAAAGGTCTGTTTCCTGCATCGCTCAGGAGGAAAATTTTAATTGATGAGATTCATAAATTAGTGCCCCTAAGCAGAAAAGTTCCATATCTGTAAAATTTTCAATTTACTTTTCGTTAAAGGACTCATTTAACTCCAAAATAATGTATGATGTGTCTGGCACAATCTGTAGCATAACTATTGCTAAAGAATTTGCTTTGTGTGATATTGGACTACTATAGGTCAAGACAATGTTAGCTAATATGACAGATGATGTCTTGAGCAGAAAAGATGGCTCTATTTCATCCCTAACATTATTTACTGTCTCATCTCAGAAATCAAATACTCAACTGCTGGCCAGCCAGAACTGGAAAAAGAATAAGAAATCCAGTATTTCAATGTGGAATAATAAGATGAACTGAAAAACTGGATCAGAATACAGCAAGTTGTGCAATTTCAGAAACGGGCTGAAAGAGGCCAGCTTGGGAAGCTAACATTTCTTAAATGCAGCTTTCTCTTTCTCCAGAACTTTCCTTTTTATATTAGAACTCCCCTTCTATTGTTAAGAATAAAATATTTACACTGCAAAGCAAATACAATTTGGTGCTGATAGCTGGCTGAAAACATTAGCTGTGCAACAAGTTGATCAGCTACTACTAGGCATAATGCAACTGTAATTGTAAATCTGGCAACACTGTAGTAATGTTGACAGTAAAGCTATTTAATTTTGGCCAAGACAGATAACAGTTCGTCCTCTTAGATGGGTTTTCACTGATTACTGGAGGCACTACACCTTTATCCTTCTTCAGTTTGATTCTAACTGAAGAATTTAAACACCAGTGAAACACTAACATACAGAAACACTGAGATATTTTGAGATTTCTCTTATGCAAGTTATTTGGGCTATGTTCAGAACAGCAAGGGACTGTGTTAACAGGATCCTGTACAACATCAGTCTCTGCTTTAACAGTGGCACCACAGGAACTGCTGAACTTGCTTAGTACTTTGCAGCCATCGTCAGTTCTCTCCGTTGCTTCTCTTAATATTTTAACTACAGCAAAGAGCACATCGTAGCTCTATGAAAAGAAGTAGTCCCTTTGCCCTGCCTGGAAGAAGGTCTAAATTTAAATTGATACGCTTAGCCTGATATAACCCCTTGTGTTGACATACTTGTTCTTAAGACTTTTAAATCCAAACCAGATCCAGTCCAATCTTGGAATAAATGCACACACTGATTTGTGCGGTGGGTACTGTGGGGTGGCAGGGGGATGCAACCCGGAAACATCACAGAGATATAATCAGCACGACATGCCTACGTAAACCAGGCCTGAGAAGGCAGTAAAGTGTTAACCTACCATTTGGAGACAAAGTCACGGCTGGCATCGAGTGCATACTTGGCTCAGCTATGTACTTGAAGTCTACAGGAATATCCCTGCAAAAGGAAGAAGTATGTATTTTATGAAGACATGGAGATGTTCCAAAGGGCTGCCTCCAGTCAGCTGATTTACTACGCCGCTGAACCATGGAGAGCGTATGGTGGTGTCCAAAGGAAGAATGTGCACACGCTCAAAAAATATTATGAATGCCCACCTAGAGATTTCCAGCTGTGGAGCCATCTACAGGACAAGCTGATAAGATTGAATCTACCCTAATTAAATGACCCAGAGTCTAAAGCAAAATCATAATCCCAATTGTTAAGAGTAACACTGTAACACAAAGATCCTCTATTGCCTCCAGTTTAACTGCACCTCTTACAAAATTCTTACATAGGTAGCAAGAATAGACTGATACACGCATGTGTCTTGCTGTAATGTCTTACTGACTTGAGTTTTGTTTTTGCTAGAATACGCCCGTCTCGTCTCTTATTTATTTATTTATTTATTTTAAAGGAAAACAGGAGTGTCTCTCTCTTATCTCTCTGACAACGCCCTTTTCTTCCTGCTCTCCCCAAATGGGATCCCAACCAATTCCAAATGTTCACAGCTGAATTGAACTGTGAACTCCCCTGTCTCAATTCCATACAGGACTGCGCCACTGTATGTTAAGAACATACACTGTCCTGTACAAAGGCATGTGGACCTAGGGAAAAAACAAGTACAGACTAATCCTTACACTGCAGAACTGTCATTTGGTTTTATCATAGAATGGTTTGAGTTAGAAGGGACCTCAAAGATCATCTAGTTCCAACCCCCCTGCCATGGGCAGGGAAACCCTCCACTACACCAAGTTGCTCAAAGCCTCATCCAGCCTGGCCTTGAACACTTCCAGGGATGGGGCATCTACAACTCCTCTGAGCAACCTGTTCCAGTGCCTCACCACCCTCACAGTGAAAAATTTCTTCCTTATATCCAATCTAAATCTGCCCTCTTTCAGTTTAAATCCATTGCCCCTTGTCCTATCACTACCCGCCCTTGTAAAAAGTCCCTCTCCAGCTTTCCTGTAGGTCCCCTTCAGGTACTGGAAAGCTGCTACAAGATCACTCTGGAGCCTTCTATATATTTCTATTTATATTTGACTATATAAATTGAATTACTAACAGGCCATGCATGTTCACAGTATTCCTTATACCCTACACTTAGAAGGCTGGTAAAAAGGGAAGGCATGCCTGTGTCTTTCACATTAAGAAAGAAAAAACTCCAGCAGAAAATAGATTTGATTTGATTTAATGTATTCAGCAGAAAACACGTGCAAAATGTCCTTCAGCAACATTAATTAATACAGAGGGGATGGTTATGACTTCATTGTCTAATTCACACAGCAGAAGGGCTGCTGGGACACTACTGGAGCAGAGAGCGTGGGTGGCTGCCTTGTACTCGCTGACTGAGCCTTGCTGGACAGCAATACTGTCAACATTAGCAAGGCAATTACCATTCTATTTTATTGTGGAGTAAGTTATTTCCCATCATCTTCTGTTAAGCAACGTGCACATGGGCGGCGGGGTGAGAAGCTGCTCTGTTGTCAGGAAGCAACACAAATGCTTCTGTGAGTTAAACGTTAAAATCGTCTACCTCTCTGCATAAGAAGGGCAACCCACTTAATACATGCTGTGGGTAAGAGCTCATGCAGGGATAACTGGCTTCCAGACAGGCAGACCTAAGACTACTGTTGGACAGTAAATCTGTAAAGGTTTAACGAAAAGTCCTCATAATCTCTGAGGCTCCAATGTGACAGCACAGTCCCTCGTGCCTCAGCCTACCCTTCTGCACCAACACCCAAACAGCTTCAAACCCCACCTGCAACAGGACACAAGGTCACAACTGCAGTAAGGCCAGATCCTTATGAACTCCCAATATCCAACACTTCCTCAGCCCACCAGTCATCTGGAGTCCTCAATGCCAGGTGAAAGCAATCTCATTGGAAGCCTCGTTAAAAAAAAAGTCTCATCACAGAAGATGCATCTCCAATGCTGAATTGTACTGCAGTGAGAAATTTAAATGCAGCACAGGTTGTCCTGCCTTCTCTCCCTCTACAAATGAAGGCTCATCTACTGGAATTTATTCAAGACAGCTCTGCTTTATGTTGAAACCTACCAGACACACTTAGGACAGCTGCAGGATACGCTGCATTAAACTATTAGGCAGAACAAAGAGGTACATTTATGTTTCACATTTGCTTCCAGTCAAATTGCTAAATAAGTAATATCAGCCTACTCCCTTAAAAAAAACTTTTAAAAAAATTACCAAGAAAGATGCTGTCATGGTTGCCTGACCTCAAAGCTCATGTGATATATTGTTTGTTCAAATTTTTCAAATTTAAAGATCTTCAAGTCTTTTCCCCACTTCATAGTATTTCAAAGGCTGAAAAGTTTTTAATACGAAAAGTAGTATCTCCTAGCCAAGATTTAAAAATGTGATACTCTGGTGTTCTAATGCAACTTCTTCCCCAAGCAGGGTAGACAAAACGCTTTAAAAGAAAGAAGGAAAAAACCCAAACTCGACCCACTCCAATTTTGAGATCTATACATCATGAAGAGCTCTCTCAGGAAACTACAGTATCTTTACACAGGAATGACGGAGGGAAAAGGCCTGCTGAGGGCTATAGCTGTGCAGGGAGGACAAGCCTCCGAAGCCTGTCAGGACAATAACTAAGCTACCACTGTACAGTTCTTGCTTTGCTAGTTCACTTGAAGGTAAAAGGAAATAGAAGCCTCCAAGGTCAATTGCCCAAATCATTTCACTGTTCATTCAAGTAGGATCAGACACATATGAAGCGGACAAAGACAAAATACCATTTTGCATTTCTAGAAGAACGAACACAGAATATGATACCCACACCAACTTTAATATTGCCGCTGTAACGATACAATCGCATGAAATGCCAAAGCAGACAAACTTCAAAGTACTCCCATTATTGCGGATTAAATGGTTTCTTTCAGAGTCTTAGTCTGTACTATCCTTGCAGTCTGAACTTTCAGCAACCAACTAACAGAAATTCAGGTACAGCACAGTGAAATCTATGCATGGGGTGAACTCCTGGGGAAAGGAGATTTAAATCCTCAGGGCAGAAGTTCCTCACTGTGAAGTCTGACCATGGCATCCCATGACCAGCTCTGGGCAAGTCAAAGTGTTTACAAAACACACTACGAAATTCCTCTAGACAATTGAAACTAAGCAATTAGACCAGCTTTAGTTACTGACTTTTAAGGCCATACTCAGGTCATAATTACTTCTGCTTTGTTTCTGTAGGATACTGAAGAAATACTGTGCTGAAGGACACATGAAGAAACAGTCAAAAGGTACAGTAAGCAAATCAACCGAAGTTGCAAATAATTTTCCTTATGAACTTAGGAAAAAAGGATTTGAGGTGCAACATGAAATGATTTGCCATGGAAGTTTTCAAGCTCTAAAAACTTCTGTACTGAATACATTAACTTAGTTTTAGTGCACTGTAAAAATCTGGATCTTGAAATTGTAGAAGTATGCCTACAGACCGATTAACATATATCATGGCAGGTTGTGGAGAAAGGTTTTCAAGTTGTGCCTAGGAAGACAGTATTACATTTGCTCTTTATAAAACCAAAAAAAAATCTCCAGTGACTGCATTACAGAATATTGCCTACAGTTGAGTTCCCTGTTATCTGAACAAGGGAGCTCTTTCTTCAGCGTACAGCACACTCAGTACATATTTTTTTCTTCAGAAGGAAAAAAAAAACAAAACTTCTGCTACTGGAACAATCAGGTTGCGATGTTCCCATGCTGGAACCTTTTTGCCTTCCCTGCTCTTCCCCACAGGCTGACTAAATCCACCCACTTCGCTATTTATTTCAGCCATCAACACAAAGCTCACAAAACAAGGGCAATCTAATCTCAAGGAAATAACACATTTGTGCAAGCGAGATCCTCCTCCCACTCACCAGAGAGGAGACAATCCTTAGCAGATACGATATTGTAAAGATTTTTCTTTAAGGAGCTCAGTAAATACACGGGTCTAATTATGAAGTACTGAACAGAGGCTCTCTTGGAGTGACATATGGTGACAGCATTACATGTCTAGCCTAAGCCTGGGTTTCCAGACTTTGGTCATTACCACTGCTGCTACTGGCAATGATAGCAGCTGATCACAGACATGCTGAGGGTTTTGCTGGCTGCTTGGGTAACATTCAAATACCACAGATTGGAGACTCTTGTCTAGGTTTAAATAATAAAAAATAAAGCTAGGAAGGAGCTGATTAGTCACAGAGCTGTCGAGCTAGAGCCCGTATTGTGCAACAGCTTCACGTGTGTGAATGGTAAAAGGAAACAGATACCTAAGGATACGGGAGTGATTATTCCAAACATAAATTTGAAAACCTAAGAGAAATCTTAAGAGTCCTAAGCTGAAAATCTTAGTACCTAGAACCTTGTGGAAAATATTTCAGATAGATTTGTTTTCTCCCCGGATATGCTAAAAATCGAAAGCCATTTAAATTGATGTTTCTTACGAGTTTTTCTTGGATTTGCTTTCACTTTACTGTCATCTATTGTATTCATGCTGTGGGTATCAACGATTGCCAAAAAGTCCAGACTACCAGAAAACCAGAAATGAAGCTACACTAAACTGGTTATTTCATACGTGGGCCAAGTATTATATAATACTATGCACATCCAACTTCACAGCATTCAAAACCGACACACACTAATGTAACAGAGCAGACAGTTCTTTGAAAGGTTAATTTAAGGACTAATACAACCTTTGGGAAAGGAGAGAGAACAGAGATCACTAATAAAGTGCAGCGTGCTTCAGGCTGACAGGGCTGTCTTATGCTTTCTTTGGGGGAAGAGGAAATCTATGAAGTGCCTAGAGCATTAAGCCAGAATAGGGTTTTAAAGCTCGCTCTTCCTCAGCTAGCTAGAACTCCGTACACTCCAGTGTCCTATGTATTACGTATACTTCTAAAAAGAAACTCTTCTCAGTTTTCTCATAATATTATTTAAGTTAAAATTCAAAATTTTAAACTTACCATTCCCAGACTCTTAAACTCTTGTCATCAGATGTACTCACAAACCTTCTATTTTCATCCACAAACACAATGGTGTTGACAGCTCCCAAATGCCTATCGTATTCCTGCACAATCTCACCACTTCGAATATCCCACTACAAATAAAAAAGCCAGAATAAGACCTCATTTTTTTTACTAAATATTAGAATTTTTAGAGGAAGAGATATTAAGTAGACATACCTGCACAATTTTCTTATCTGACATTCCTGCAACAAAGAGATTTTGTTTATCTTCATCAGGATTGAACTTGACACAATAAGGAACCTTCCTGTTTGTGAATCTTGAAATACATTGCCCTGCAAGAGACAAGCCATTCACCTTGCGTCAGGTGGGAAGTTCTAGCTACAAAGAACTAATCAACCCATACTGATAAAAACATTACTTTTACTTTATTAACAGCAGAAAATACTTGTTTTAAAGTCCTTGAGAGGATTAGAGGGTAGAATTTACCCTGCTCTTTAATTAGACCTTGTTTCACATGTTTGTACGCACGCACCTGTATAAACACATACAAACTGTTCCCTACCTTTACTACAGCTTTCCAAACGATGTAACTGCTCAGTACCCAGTATGTCATCAGGACATATCAAGGACATCAGGACTGGTCAGGATATCACAAGCTGACCACTGTCTTTGCAAAGCATCATCTCCTTAGGATCGGAGGTCGTCTTGACAAGAGACTTAAACTCAGGCAAGAATTCCTCAATCCTAAGCCTAGAAAAGGGTAACGGAAATGCAGCCGCAGAACAAACCACTGACCTCCTCTGATAGCCTCAGCCACAGATACCCTGATTACATGTGATCTGTAACTTACGGGAGCCTGTTTTAATCCAAAAGCTCAATACATTTTTCAGATGTCTAAATAACTGAGTTCAGACTCAAGTCTGAAGAACTTGACTTAGACCTTTCTGGCTGTCACCTGTATGAGACTAGTGGCACTGCTAACAAAGAAAGCTAACGTCTTTTCAAACACGGAAACTTCCTCTCTTAGGAACAGACTTAAGTTTAAAAGAATATGGACAAAATCTATCCTGTATCTTTTTAGCTTAAGAAACTATTTGGAGCAGAATGTTACAGAGTATCTCCCTGGCAGTTCTGTCACAGCATCAGATCTACTCTTTGCTCCCTGTACCAGCAGCCTAATTTCCACCACCTTTTCTTATCTGGAGTGCTCCTCAAGTTCAGGTTAGCCAAAAGATCAAGTGAAATAATTTTTCTAAATTAAGCATATTTAAGTCTAAAGAGTGATTTCTTTACTTAATTTTATGCCTACAAACGTAAACGTGCAATTAACAGATTTGGTAAAATTTTGTCTTTTTGCTGAAAATTGTTCTAACATTACAAATAACTATCAAACTTCTCAAATAAAAGGTATATGAAATACAGGTACATAGGTAGTGTGAAATGCACCATTACAGATAGCAACAAAACATTTAGGGAAAAAAGACTATTCATCCTGTAATGAAAGCCTAAACGCTGAACTACAAGACATTAAAGACAATTGGAAACAACCTGGGTGACTGATAATATATCATGATATTTACTACTAATTAAACACAGTGCCAAATAACAGCATCTACAAATACAAACCTACCTGTTTCAGTGTCCCAGAGTTTAAGATAGCGGTCATATGCAGCACTAAGAAACCGAGTGCCAGCATTATTAAAACAGATGTCTCGAACAGCTTTACTATGTCCTACGAGATAGAAAAAATGCAATGATAAACTTTTGTCCAGTCAAACTTTGAATTAATGTGTTTTTTTTTTAAAAAAACATTATTCAAGTTAAACGCTCCAGTCTTTAACAATGCAAAGAGAACAAGGAAATCGCTTATTGGAGTTCTTCATGAGCACTAGTAAAGAATAATTCAAGTGAGAAAGAAAAGGAACTCCTAAAGAATGATGAGAATAAAACCCCCAAATCCCCACGCCTCCAAAGCACTGGAGAGAGAAACAATAGCACTGCACAGAACCAACCACTGGGCATCATTGATAAACTGATGTACAAGCAGAACTTTAAGTACTGTTGGCTTCAAAGATTGTTCTGGTCTCAATTAAGAGCTGCAAGAGAAGTAGTAAGTATCAACATCTAATGAAAAGGAGGAGACACAAACACTGCAGGAGACACATTTAAAGGAGAAACATTTAAAAATTAGAAAACAGGTACAAAATATGGGAAATACTAGATCAGAAAATTAAGAATGCTTTTATTTGGTGTTAACCTTGGTACTCTCCAACCCCAATACTTTCATCTGACCACTGCATCAGACTTGTAGGAGATGTCTTTAGTTAAAATATTGGCATAGTAACTTAAATATAGCAAAACAGCAGGCGAACCTGGTTGATAATAAGGACCTTTTGAGAAAAACAGTCAAAACTGTTCAGAAAGAGCACTCTATTGAGCGAGAACCTTTTTTGAGCCATTATCTTTGCCATACTGCTGTCATCAGAAGTATTAGCTGAAAAAAGATTTCTTTATTGTTACTCAACATATATTCACTCAGTGTTCTAGAAATGTTCCCATTTCAAAAGGAGAATCAGCCGCTTTTGTTCTGCATTCAAGGCTGCCTAGAAGTTTATATTTCTCTCTCTCAGCTATCTTCTTTAAAAAGCACCTGTTACATGAACAAAGATGGCACTTGAACCTAAAAAAAAGCCCCATGCTTTTGCACTAGAAACTCAGCACAGCAGAGATCACCTATTTAAAGCAGGATCATCAGGCCATGAGATGCCCTCACTGCACGAATACAGAGGGCTGCTGTTCTCAACAGGAGGATGAGGCGATTTAATTTCACAATTTTACCTCTGGAAAAGAGTCTTGCATAAAGTATTGATGATTGCAGTACACTAATGTTTCTAATGTTTTGTTCTAGGAGTTGTGAGGTGTTATTCATCAACATTAAATTGCTTGGAATAATGACAAATGTTCATGAAAAACTTGCAACTTTTTCAATTCTTATGGCCAAGATCATACTGAATACCATTTACCTTGGATGACTATAAGTCCTCTCTATGATAAATTAATAAGCTAATCTAAATCATAACCTTCCATGAAGTTTTTTAAAATATACATTAGTTTCAAAAAAAGATTATTACCAATAAACGTTCGTAGACATCTTCGATCACCATATACTTCCCATAGCTTGTGAAAAAAAAAAAAAGAGACAGAGAGAAAAGATGTCAATTGTTAAACAGTAATGATGCTGAAATTAAGTGCAAACATATATGGCAACATCTCTTAAGAAATTAATTACAAACATATGACATCTACTGATTAATCACAACATCTACCCAGGAATTCACAAGAATGCACTGACACCCTCTTGTTAGCAAAATCTCCTTAAAATAACTAAAAACTCCACACCGTATTCCAACTTTAAAGCACTAAGGCTTTGCTAGTAAAAATATAAAATACCATCAGCTTTCTAATATGATGCATGCTAGACTAAAACGAGCTGAGTTCAAGACCACAAATGCTTCAGTAAAACTTCAACAGAAACCTATTGCTAGTCATAAAACTAGACTTCATAGAAAATTAATTATTATAATAACAAAGGCAATAGCCTGAGGAACTTGTGACCTTCTGAATGCTATTACTAGATGATTAACACTGTCCTAACACCCACAGTCTTGTGTATTATTTATATCTTTGACTCAAAGAATTTGTAATTTAAAAATCAAGTCAGAAAAATAAAAGTAACACAGACAAAAGGTATTTGGTAGAAGTACCAAATGTTAAGTATTCTAAAATGCCTTGTCTATATTCAATGATGATACAAAATACATACATGAAAACAGAAAAATAACTCACCTTAATTTTGCAATCCATAGAGCAAGACAACAGTATATGCCCAGAGAGAGGAAACAATCTAACTGCACTGACACCCTGAAAATAAGGACATAGTTAAACAGTAAGTGGAGCATCTAGATATCTCCTCAGTTCACTTGCCCTCTTTTCTAAGCAAAAAGCTAAAGCTTATATTCATAAAATATACAGATACTGTGTCTTGAAAAGAAATAACCTACCAACATTCCGTTTTAGAAACAGCAATGCATTTCGAACAATTGTTATTGGCAACGAATTGATTCACTTCAACAGCTGTACATACACCCTCCTTCAACACTCACACCGTTACTGCGGTAAATGGCAAAGAAATACAAACTGTGGGTTTGGGCAACTGTTTCTGTATAACAAGTCTTTTCAGGTGGGGCAACTGAGGAAATTTTCCACAAAAAAAAAGTCAGACCAGCTCCATTTCTTACTTATACTGCCAGTGGCTTCTACCCACTGGACTCAAGATTCCCTGGGCACAGCATTTTCCCATCTACCTGTATTTCAGGTACTCCTTGCAGAGGAAGTCCAAAGGACCACCAAGTACTCATGGTTTGATGTCCCTCCTTTCTATTTCATGTCAATTACTCTATTCTTATTCCATCCAGCTCCCCTCACTCCTGGTTGGGGTTGGGTGCTTTATCCTCCCTATTATTGTCTACTTATATCTCTCAGCTTTTCTAGATTTGTCAGCCCATTTTTCTTTTGCTTTTCTCATCAATATTGTTATTCATCTCTTGTTTGAAGGAAAAAGCCATTTTGTGCATCAGTCTGTTCTAATTGGATAACAGGCAGAGGAGCGACTAGAGTTTTGGGGAGGAGATGTTAATCTGGAAAGCACTGATAGCTGCAGCTACAAGCTCTTTGATGAAGCAATCATTGAAGAAGAGTTCTGAGCTGTGACTCAGCTGAAAAAGGCTAAAAGCTAAAAGTGTTCCCTGCGCTCCTTTCTTCCATCTTTCAGATACCATTAAGGTGCTGTCCATTGCAGCACAGCATATTCCCTCAAGCAATACCGAAAGTTAGAAACAAAAGAAGCAGCAAATTGAGTATGGGCTTTACAAATATGATCAGTGAAACACTTTTGTAATACCAAAACTATGTACATAGTTACGGGCTCTGGCACAAGAAGAAACTGTAAATGTTAAGTAGTGCCATCAAAGAAAACTCTTAACAAGGCAGACCCCTGAAAGGTAATAGTGGTATTTGGGAATCCTGGAATGCTGATGCATCATAATCACAAAAACTATGTAACTTCTCATAAGTTTGATAAGAAATAGCCCTTAAGTACTTTTACTATTAAAAAAACGCATTTTCAGGGATCTCTAGAATTAGCCTTACTCTTATTCATGTAGTACTTTAGGAAATAACTCCAAATCCCACAGAAGTCACTGAAAAACACTGGTTCCTCTAAAGGAGGTCAAGAAAGCACTATGTTCATGAAAAAGTATATGCAGGTCAACAACTGCATTTGAGCAGGCAAACACCTTGCGTGAGCATATAATGCAACCAGCTACATACATAATGTGGTAAAGATGAAAATACTCCTTCCTTCTACAGATACTTCAGTTCTACAGAAGTTACTAGCTTCAGGCACAAGTGAAGTGGGTTTTTATGATGCACACTCACAAACACGACCTCCTACCTTTGTATGTCCAGACCACACATGGATTTGTTTCTTTGGAAGATAGCACTTCTCTGGTGGTACTGAAGAACGGAGATTAACTCCAACATCTTGAGGGACATGAAGATAAGATCTCCCCTGATAGTCATACATTTCCTTAACTGAAAAGGTAAACAGAATTCTGTGAATCAAAGTGCCTGTGTTTTAAGAGGTTGTATTCTTTGACTTGCTCAACAGTCACGCACAATTAAGGTTTTTCTCAACACATCTGCTCCGCTGTGAAGTAGGGGAAAAGAGAAAAACCCACTTCAGAGGACACAGATGTGGAATGGTATTTGACATCAGTTGAGCTCAAATGAAGTCATTTCAGCAAAGTCTGCTTGGAATCTGATAATCTGAACATTAAAGACAACCTCCTCCCTACACATCTTACACATCATCAAACGGCAACAAAATTCCTCCAGCCAGCAAAGGTTTGCTTACACGAACTCTACACAGACTATATATGTGCAGATCTAATCCTGGCGTTCGCTTGCAATTCACATTCCAGCCAGCTCTATGCTGTGTCAGTCACATCAACAGAATTACAAACCAGAGAAAAAAGATCCATTTGGCCAGTGGGAACTGATATGGGCTAGCTGCAGCCAACAGCTGCTCTTGAACTAAGTTTAAGGAGCGACTGGACAGCCATGCAGGGATGCTTTGTGCATGGAAATGGGTATTTCAGACTAGAGTTGTGTTGGATAGCCACAACATTAAGCTGTGCACCGATTAAATTAGTTTCTCAGTTGCTGGGATATTGTTATGGCAGCTTTGGTTGTACAAGTGACCTCCTGCACAGTATCAATGTTTACATATGTCTGTAAAATGGCATATTTCTGAAATGCTGAAAAGTTCATCTTGTAAGGTCTTTCACTGTGAAACTTCAGGTAGAGACCATTAAAAGTTGGATACAAAATGACTACTCCATAGGATCCTCAATGGCTACAATTTGTTATGCTCATCACTATTCCACAAATACTGTCATGATCTGCTACATATAAACAGAATGAAGTACTAATGTCAGCAATGCATATCTCATAGCCACTTCTTTAATGCATATAAGGATGCTCCAGCTTGTGCATGTGAGCCTGGCTGTAGAAAGTGGTAAACAAAGAGAGACTCTGTTTACCTAACTGTCTCTGCCAAGCAATATAAGGCAGGACTGTTTTGCATGCAGGGAGTTGAAATAACAGTTTCCAAAACCCACTTAATTTTACTTATTTACTTATGAAACCATTTGCTTTGAAGGTACCACATGCTATAGGCTTCCATAGGGTAATTATTTGATACACAATTATTCATAGTATGACAGCAAGAACATTTACATTAAGAACTGAGGAAGTATAAAGTCCAAGTGATTTTCTAAATTGTATGTCAGCCATAACTTAAAGCACTACCTGCTGATGAAAGTACTGACATAAAACTGCAGTAATTCTGAAGCTGAAACTAAGCCAAACTCATAACTTTAAAATGTTTGCTCTGTAAAATAGGAAAGGGCTATGTGTGCCTAGTACCATTAAAAATAAATAAATAAACCCAGTACCCTGAAAGATGACATTTCCACGCTGCTCTTCAC